GGGAGACTTCAAATCTTATTTTAACCCATTGACTTTGTAATAATCTGTTAAATTGCAACAGAAAATTTTTATATCAAGTGTTCTGTTTTCAAGAAATGCAGATGGTGCTGGGTTGTCGACAGATCCCACAATAGGACCCTTGCTACCTGACTGGAGAGCAACTGGCCCCTGCTTCTGTTCTCATTTTTTTTTTCCTTAGGGAAACCATTCAAAACCCTGTTGGTAACTGTTCCTGATGCCTTGGGGATCACAAGAGACATCTATTCTTGACAACACTTGAGTCTGGAGTCATGAGATCCTGGGGTTGAAACCCATGCTAACCTCTCACTGCCAGTGTGATCTTGGGTAAACTATTTAATCTCTTTCATCTACAGATTTTCATTAGCAAAAGGAAGATTAAAGTAATATCTACAGAATTAAACTATATAAATGTATACATATGCACATCAACATATACATGAAAACATAGCACATCTTCATTAGCAAAAGGAAGATTAAAGGAATATCTACGGAATTAAGCTATATAAATGTATACATATGCACATCAACATATACATGAAAACATAGCACTTGCTGCAGAGACTGGCATATATTGGGCACGTAACACATTACTGTCAATGGCTTCTAGATGCACAAGGGTGGGGGATACTGTTTGAATGTGTGGCAATATGTAGTGCACAGCTCTAACATGGGCCCTTTCTCAGACACCTCTACTGAGTCAGCCACCAGTGACAGCCTAAGAGCTACAGCAGGTGGTCTTGTAGAACTACTATCTGTGCTTGTGTGTGCACACATGTGTGCAGGAACATGTGAACTCCAAGGGTTGACAATAGGTGTCTTCCTCAATTAGTCTTCACCAGCCTTTTTCAGGAGAACTACTATGTGTGCTTGTGTGTGCACACATGTGTGCAGGAACATGTGAACTCCAGGGGTTGACAATAGGTGTCTTCCTCAATTAGTCTTCACCAGCCTTTTTCAGGCATGGTCTATCATTGGTCCCACAGCTTCCCCAATTCAGCTATGCTCACTTGCTGGCTGGTGAGCTCCAGGGATCCTCCTGTTTCTATATCCCTATCGAGGAACTTATAGGCACGTACAACAATGCCTGGCTCACACAGGAAACACATTACAACCCAGCCATCTATCCCACAGCTTCCCCAATTCAGCTATGCTCACTTGCTGGTCGGTGAGCTCCAGGGATCCTCATGTCTCTACATCCCTATCGAGGAACTTACAGGCATGTACAACAATGCCTGGCTCACACAGGAAACACATTACAACCCAGCCATCTGCTGGGCCTCTGTATATGATCATTAAACACATATAAACCACTGGTTAGACCTTCTTGTTGAGAGGCCTTTAGTTTCAATGGATTCTAGTCTGCTTTAGAGGTATGTGTATGGCTATGTGGGCAATTGTTTTCAGTGGGTGGGCTGACAGGTCATCCATCCTGACACCCAGGACTGCAGATCTAGTACTCACGGGAACAACACTTCTTGTATGTTATTCCAGATCGCCTTTCCTCCCATGATGATTGTCAGCTGTGTAGTCAGTTCAAGAAGACAGCCACCCGGGTCACACTGGCATGTTACAAAGGAAACAACATTTAGATTTCAGGTGTATAACATGCAAAGGAGCACTGCATTAATATCTCTGTTTGTTCTCTTAGGCTAAAAATAGCTCAGAAATGCACGAGGAAGTCACTTTCGTTGGGCAGCTGAGAGAAAGCAAGCAGCAGCTTCAACTGTCAAGAGAGTAATGCCATTGTGTTTTCGCACCTCTTCGTTTCTGTACTTGCCCAGCCAATACACTGGGTCCCCTGGATAGCCGACAAATTTGCCCTTAAAGAACGCAATGTAGAAACACGAGGAGTAGTAGTTGACGAATTGGAACAAGAACATCTTCATGGTCAGGCTGTTCTCATAGTCAGTCTGGGTCCTTGGGAGTTCTGCAGTTAAAACAACAAGAAAGATGCTGAGATCCCAAACAGCTGAGACCCTAATCAAAGGCTTGGATTTCTGAGATGACACGCCGAAAGGAATACAATTCACACTACTCCAGTTTAATCTGCTTTCTACTTCTTAATATAGCCACTGTGTTAATTCTGAGTTTACACATTGTTATGAGTTCTCATCCCATATAAACACAATATCCTCTATGGCAAGCAACACACACTCTTTTTAACTACTCCTTAAAGTTTAAAAATGCTTTTATAGGCAAATGGAACAGCTTTGTTCAAAAAAAAAAAAAAAAAAAACCCAGAGTTATTTTTGTTCTGGTGCTAGGGATCAAATCCATGTTGTCACTGAGCAACATGCCCAACCCCTTAGAAAATTAGCTGTGACCTGCCAAGTAAAGGCACCTCTTTGTCCCCTGGAATTGTAAGATCTCTTGGAAACAGTGGAACAGGAGCAACTGGCTGGAGGCATCTGGGAAGCACAAATGGTTGTCCTCCTAACTACGAATCTCAGCCAGTGTGCCTGTCATTCTTCGAGTGGATGCACGCTGGGAGCGGGAAGTCCCTAACTCAAGTCATGAAGCAGCTGCTTGGGATGCAAGCCAGCCAGAAGCAACATGCACTGCATCAGGCAGAGCTGCTGAGAACTGTACTCACATGGACAGTATGGGGGATGACGCACACCCATATGGCAGCTTGTCCTCTCTTTGAGGGGTGCATTTGTCACTGGAGCTGTGACCCTGTTCCACTTATTTGCAATAGAGACTATTTACGTTTAGCATGGGAACACATGATCTAATGTAATGGAGCTTATTCTTCTGCCCATGTGTTTACAGAACCTGGACATTCCCACCATTGTCTCTGCTGTGTCCCTTCTTCTAATACAAAGATGCACACAACATACTTCCCATATGGGCTAGAGAAAATATGTTTGCACTCAAGATTTCCTAACAATCTTAACCTCCAGGAATGAAGATAGCTAACGGTTCTCTAAATCTCTTGGAAATCATTCGAGCCGGGCAGGACCTCACCAAAGTTGGTGATCATGATGGCCACCTTCTCATAGATAGTGTTCAGGATCATGATGATGATGAAGCTGATGATAGAAGCTGTGATGGATGTGGCCATCTGTGGTGTCAGGTATTTCTGGATTGGGTCGGTCCCATTGGGGTTCTTGGGGAGGGTTGTAGAGAACACAATGAACACCGACAGCCTGTAGACGATGATGCCGATCACAGACGCGATGATGAGCAGGATCTGAAAGCACCAGCATCGGCAGTGTGAGCCTCAGCGAGAGTCAGACCATCACAGAGACGGGCTCGGTGATTAGACAAACAAGGGGCAGCACATCTCACAGAAGTGCCAGGGAACAGCTGGAGAATGGGGCAGGATGGGAAGAAACATGGGATCCAAAGAGGGAACATCCACCATAGTGGGATACTGTTGACGGTCATACTGTGCCAGGCAAGAGGAGATGTGGTACCCCTTACTACATATTCTATACAATTGTCCCATAAAACTAAGAGTGCCAAAATAGAAAGTCTATGTTAGAAGTATCTTCAGACAGCACAAAAGTGGCGGTGACATCCTAGGTGGAAGGAGTGTTCATCATCACAGAAGCAATGATAACGTCCCTTGTACAATACTCAATGGTTCAGGTGTGGACTCATCCGGGGCTTCTTCAGTTTTACTCCAAGGAGAACCATTCCTTCTACCAGAGAGTTATTTACAAAGAGTCAGCATGGGCTGACTTGCCTTTACCATGGTAGTAGCAGGGTCTAACTGGAGCGCGGGCCAAGGTTCTGGGCTCTTGGTATTAGCAGCGAGCCTATGCTTTTAGAGCTCATGCTTTTCACACTTGGGTTCAAACTTTTCACACTCCTGAGCCATCGTTCACACTCTCAATCATTCACACCCATAGCCCCACAAGTTCTGCTGTAGGCATTTCTGACTCCTATTTCCCAGGGCCACTGGTGGCGTGCTGCACAGCCTGTACATGGCAAGGTTTTACTTTCTCAGTTTTCTCTCTCTGGTCAGCATTAACTACATGCTACAGACCCAACTGTGGGTCTTGACCCCTTTCAGGGTTAAATGACCCTTTCACATTGGTTGCCTAAGGCTATCAGGTATATTCAATATTTATGTCACATATTTACATCACAATTCATAACGGTAGCAAAATTCTAGTTATGAAGTAGCAACAAAATAATTTCAGTAATTGGGGGTCACCCCAACATGAGGAACTGTATTAAAAGGCTGCAGCATTAGAAGGTTGAGAACTGCTGATTTAGATACTATCGGAGAGACCACTTTAAATTTTCCCCTACATCATGTTTCTTGGACAAACTTCAGAACCATGGGCTCTGTCTGATTGCTCATGATGAGAGCCGGGGAGAAGCTACAGAGAACAGGAAGTCTAGCATCAAGCAAGGCACAGCACATGTCAACATCTGCAGAGAAACATACAGGGATGAGCTACAGACTTCCTGCATGTGAAGCCACAGCTCTGGCTGTGGAACCTTGTACCTGCTACCCCAGGCTTCACTCTTCCATGTAGTGGACAAAATACTACAGGGAGAGTACAACATCCAGGCCTAGGAAAAGCACTGGGTAGTAGTAGCTGTGTTGATGGCAACCAAAGTGTTAAAAGGACATTTTCTTCCTTGCTGTGCAATCTGCGTATAGAGAAGGCTTTGTGTTTCCCCGTAATCTCGCTCATTATCTCCTCTCCTTCACAGTTAAGTCTTGTGAAGTGAAAAGGAATGTGTGTGTGTGTGTGTACACGTGTGTGTGTGCGTGTGTACGTGTAAATTAGCTAAGGCTGAGAAAAACTGGAAAAATGCAGTGTCTTCCTCCCCTGCATAATACAAACAGGCCATTTAAGTCTCTCTAATAATCATCCCCACAATCACTTTTCTAATTATTCATCACCAGAGCACCCTTTTGGCGCTTACTGCCAACCTTAACACCCTTTCACTATTGAATTCTCACAAGTAGTAGGAACTGCAGGCAGTGTTAGAAGGAAGAAATACAGTCTGAAAGAGTAAAGATTTGTTCTAGAGTGAGCTGACAGGAAGGGAAAGCAGGGGAGTCACAAGATTCAAAGACACAGAGCCTGGTGTCCCAGCCTCCCCCGTGGCTTGGGTAAGGCTCTGGTATATCTCAGGCCAGCTACAATCCTGGAAGGCCTCTGCAACTCTCCAGGCATCTGCTCAAAGCAGGGCACTTTCTCCCTTCGGGGTTACATTTTTCTGATTCTAATTTTGACAGTTTTCAGATCAAACTGTAGGGCATGCTCACTGAAAGTGCCCTGTGGTGGACAGACATAGAGCCTTCACCATCTAGGAGAAAAGCCTGGCTTTGCTCTGTAGGAGCAACCTCTTCTAAATTCTCAGCCTACTGGGTGTCTACTGGATGCTACCTAGGGTACAGTCACTAGCCCTTGTCAAAATTCATTATCAAGCACTCCAAATGGAAATTGGCTTTATTGCCTACAATTAAAAAAACTTTTAATTATAAAGAAGTAATATAAAGAAAAATAGATAAGATCACTCACTATTAAAATAAAAGCAAAATTCTTTCAGAACTATGCCTTATTTGCATAATCTTTCCCTTTAACTCATCATAAAGAATTTTTCACACATCGTGGGATATTTCATGAGCATACTTTGCAAGGATGTACAATATTCCATTGTCTGGCTATGTTTGAAGGGGTAAGGACATTTCTACCTGTGGTGTTCATGTGTGCATAGGCCTTGGTGTGTACACATGTGTTATAAAATGAGATAACATGTGTGAAGAAATCTTGCCTCTCTGTAACACCTTACCCTTAATGATACACAATCTTGCTACATGGCCCAGGCTGACTTGAAACTGTTCTGCCTTAACTCTGTGAATACTAGGATTACAGATCAGAGCAGCCACTCTGGACTTTGATACAGTTCTTGTTTCACAGTTTCTAAAAAGTAAACGAAGCTAGCATATATAAATCTTTCTGAGTGTATCTTAATATACACGGGTCAACCTGCTTTCTAGGAAAGATGGAGAAACAAAATCAGCTGTCCCAGTGGGAGAGGCTGACATTGCAACCTGTCACCTTAACATGGCATCTCCTAGGAGGTAGAAAAGAGAATCTCATTGTGTGCACCCATCCTCCCAGGGTCAGGATGTTTTTCCAGATGGGCCACTGTGTTTGTCTTGGTTGGTGCACACATATGTATGATGTCACCTGCTGCTGAGCTCCTGTAGCTGTCTCACAGCTGTCTGGGGCTCCACCCTAAAGGTATCAGTCCTTTCATCTCTCTGTGTGTTTGTATTTCTTCTGGTATTTCATTTAAATTCAGTGTGTCAAAATCTTTACTTTTCTCTGAAATGTCTTCCACTGCTACGGAAGTTTAGAAGGTCATTTTAGACCTACAGACTGCATTCACTCAGATTTATTTCTAGTTTATGGCTTACAGTTTAGAAAGTATTTTGGAATTTATTATAGCATGTGGTTCAAAGCATGACCTGACCTTTCCCACCCCAACAGCTAGCAAGCATTCCCACTGCTCATTAACTCAGTCTGGATCTATAATCTTCCTTTCTTATGCATTAAATCATGAGACAGAGCTTGGATCTGGCTGTCACGTCCCCTTCTTTAATCTGTTTTTTTCCTAAGCCAAACAAAGCTCTCACTAAATTGTATTAATAGTATCTTTTAGCAATGTTTTTTATTTTTTTTCCTTCCTCACCTAAAATCAGTTTTTAAAACTTCTTTTCCTTTAGTTTTTATGCTGCCTTCTTTGGCATATCTTTTTGTTATGGAAATTCCTACATTTTTTAATTTTAGTTGTTGCTGTTGCAATTTCAAAGAGTTCTTACTGCCTCCATACTTGGTTTCTTCAGCAGCAGCTGGAAATCCTTACCTGATGGCAGGAATGAGGTAGAAGGAACAGAAAAGCTACAATGGACAGGAAGGTGTTCCCGACCTGGCAATATTCCATGTGGTGGCCAGGGATCACTTAGCCATCTCTCTCGATGACACCATGTAGCAACCACATAGGCATCTGGCTTGCACTTTCCTTGATATTTTAAATGAGATACTAAAAAAAATTGTCACTCAATAAAAAATTAATTAAACGTAAGCTTGTGGCAGTTTCTTACCCAAAATAAGACAGCACTTGCACACAGCGTGATCCGGATACACTTTCCACAGGTAGTAAACGGGATGCGCTCCTCCTCCTGATGGAGAAAAATGACTGGTCAAGGGGGCAGCGCCAATAAAACTGTTCATATCTCTGTGTCAACAGGTCTTATACTTAACTGAAAACAAACAAAACCCAAGTTTGCAAGCATACTGTTCTCATTTATAGATATGCCATTAATAATCTCAGACACTATGCCAAGTGCAGCATTTGTTTGTTTGTTTATTTATATATTGGTGTTGGGTATTGAATTCAGGGCCCTGAACTGGCTTGGTATGTGCTCTCAGCATACCAAGGCTTTACATGTTAACATAGTGTAACAACGAATTTTTGCAGCGTTTCCATCTTATGTTTATCAAGAGACAAAAACAAGACGACTCCTAATTTACCTGGAAGAACAGCCAGAGTGTAACACCAGGTGTGAACTTGGCTGGCACTCACTCTGAGTTTTACACACAAACTCCATCAATGCTCATTATAGTGACGTGGAAACATTCTATCACTTCCATTTTATAGATAAGGAAACTGAGGCACAGATCCAGGTTCACCCAGTCCATAAGCTGCTGTCATATCTGCAATGTCAGAAATGTCTCCTCTCTAAACCAGGGATCCACTCGTAGGCACTGCCCTGTCCTCTCCAGCAAATAACAGTCACTATTCAGAATGGGGGTTGCCTGTATCCCAAGAGACAAATGCCATCTGCTATGCTATTCATAAAATAAGGATGCTCAAGTACTCCCAATCTTCTAGCACTGACATTCTGAAAATCTGGGGGGTTGATTTAGAACCCTACAGTTAGGGACATTTCCTCAGACACTTGGTAAAAGAATTTTCCTTCCAGGAGCTACTCCCATTCAAAACTCTGTTCCCACACTGGAGACTAAGGGTGGCTCTGAATTCCCTGTGTTGACAGAAATACTGTGAAAGACTCAGAAATCATCTCTTGGAGGTTTGGGGATGAACAGGGAGATGTGTAATGTTATTTCTTCTTTTTTGCAGCTGTAGTTGAAGCCAATATACTCTTCCAGTGACAAATGCCTCACACAGTGCTGGCACATAGTATGACCTCAATATGTGTTCCCTTCCTTCAACCCTTTCTGACTTTACATTAAGAGTCACAGTGTTTTTTGTGGACTTCCCAACCAGGAAGGCCAGTGACTGAGCGCCAGAGAGAGGGACAGCAAGCTCAGGATGCAAACTGACAGCAAGGAAGACGCCTCAGACATCTGTATGCTAACACACCTTACCTTATATAACTATGCCAATCTCTCTCTCTCTAAAATATATGCATTTTACCATTATTGAAAGAGAGGGGCCACAGTGGTCTCCACACATACTGTCCTAAGCAGTTACAGAACACATCTGAGATACTCAGCATCTCAGAGATGCCAAGATGGGCTCAGGCATCTGCACTGTTCAAGCCCTATGAGGGCTTGTGGTGTGAACCACTTCAGAGAAAACACTGCACTAAATCACCTTGCTGAGAACCTGCTGGGTGATCACTGCACTTACATCACCTTACTGAGAACTTCAGGGAGGGCACTGCATGGCCTTACTGGGAACTGCAGGGAGGTATACATTACAGAAGAACAGACACATACCTGAGTGATCTCGTTTATTACCACGTGATTGCACTGGGCTTCATACTCTGGCCGGGCCTGTTCTTCCTGCTGTAGCTCAACAGTGTCCCATTCGTACTCAAGCTCTGCCTGGCGCCGCTTCCAAAACTCCAAAAACAGCGTAACTGACAAGAGAAAAGAGGACAGCATGGCTCTTTGAGGCTGGTGTCAGAATGCCATACTGGGAGTTACCACTCCCACTCTTGTGATGAGCGTAATGTATTTATAGATTTAACTAACATTTAAAAGGCAGGAAATGTTTTCTTTAAATAAAAATGTTGGTAATTTACAAATACTGTGAAACACGATGGTCTGGGGTGGGTAATGTGGGTGGTCAGAAGGCAAGTATGTGTGTCAGTCACAAAGCTTGGAACCCACACGTCACCAGCTTTATACACAAGTAATCAGTTCATGGTTTGGCCCTTCCCCACATCCTCATTTCTTCTCCTCCTCCTCCCTCCCTCTGAGACAGGGATAGAAAGGAACACTTACTTTAGTGCCCTCTAAATATGCTAATACAATATATGAAAAAATTAGGCATCATTATTTTTCATAATCTGAAACTCAAAAAAGCTAAAAATGTTTAAGTGTTAATTGAAGATATAGCTTCCAGGTCAATTCCCTATGCTCTTTTAATTAGTCCTACTATCTTTAATCCTTCTTAAAGATTCTGAAATTATCATGTTTCCATTCACAATTATTACTCAAGTGTCCACTAAATGCTGAGAACAAGAACAAGAAAAGGAGACTTCTAGATATATGAGAATGACAGGCACCTCGGACACAGCAAGACACACAACTGAAATGGCCAATGGACCATCCATCAGTTCTCAACCTGTGTGTTGTGACCCTCCCAGGGGTCACATGTCAGATATCCTGCATATCAGGTATTCACATTATGACTCTTAACAGTGGCAAAATCACAGTTATGAAATAGTAAAGAGAATAATTTCATGGTTGGGGGTCACCACAACGTGAGGTACGATATATTAAAGGGTCACAGCATTAGTAAGGTTGAGAACCACTACAATAGACACTTCAGGGACAGCCTTCCATAGGAGGGGACCATGTGGGTGGCCTGGGATGGCTGAGATAATCAGGTAAAGGAGGAAGGCGGCAGGTGAAAAGTTTAGTTTCCTCAGGGGAGCTGTCCATGACAGATCAAGGAGGCCAGGGCACCAGGTGCTTTCCATTCTGGCTGTGACTGAAGGGTTATGATGAGGAAAATGGGACAGCCAAGTGACAGACCTACAGGAGGGCATGTTACAAAGGACATTATGAGCCTTGAAAGGAGCTAGGAGTTTAGTAAAGGTTGGGAGACACATGAAGGCAGTCTAGTATGAACACAGCTGTATGAAGGGGCTTATAAGGGGTCAAGAATGCAGGCCAGGTTTCTGGCTTGAGCAGTGTAGTACAGGAACACATCCCCGAGGGAAGACACTGGGCCACTGTAGTGCAGTGAATGAGAATGACCTCTGCCCCAGGCTCATATGTTTGAATACTTGGATCCTAGTTGGTGGAACTATCTGGGGAGGATTAGGAGGTGTGGCCTTGTTAGAAGTGTGTCACTGGGGCAAGCTTTTGGGTTTCAAAACCCCAGGCCATTTCCAGTAAGCTCTCTGTCTCTGCCTCCTACTTGAGGAATCAAGATGTGAGCCTCACCATGATAGACTCTTAACCCACTGAAACAGTAAGCCCAACTACACATTCTTTGGTAAGTTGTGTTTTATCATAGCAATAGAACAGTAACTAAGACAGTCAGTGATGATGTGTGTCTGTGGGCGGGTGCCTAGAGTACTGGAAAGGCCAGCCAAATCAGGAGTCTAAGTGTCAGCTGGGGGTGGATGGGATCACTAAATGAGGGGTCTACAGTGGTAGGTCTCACGTGAGCTGCACTTACAAGGTACTTGGGAGCTTTAAAAAGTCCTAAGCACAGGCACCAGCCCTGAATTCAACAGGCCTGGAATGAGGAATGTTGCCTGAACACAGGTGGTGTTTTTTTCTTGCCTTCCAATCAGCAGTCAAGGTTCAGAGTTGGTCCCTTGGTCCCACACAACATAGTGGGGAGCCAGAGGCTAGGTGGAAAGTCTGGGATGCTGGAGAAGAAGCCTGAATGCAACACTTTCCAAGGGTGAAGGGTGATGAAAGGCTCAAGCACCCACTTCCCAGTCTTGCTTGTGTAAATACTTCACCAATGGTCAGTTGGAGCAGAAATGCCCTTCGGGTTGGAATCGGGTCCCCGCATTGAGGGCAGAATGGTGCTTCTGCTGAAAAGCATCCAGGCCTTCAGTGTTCTTGAAACTTGCCTGTGGGGAAGTGAGGTACTGCTTGTCGTTGGATAAACACCTTCAGGACACTAGGCAGTTTTGTGGAGCAAACTGTGACTGCTAGTCTTGTTGCCCATAGGAACTCTGCTAGCCTCAAGTGGCAGACATTTCCTGAGACTCCTGCTGGAGAGTGTGAGCTACCCCAAGGCAGCCCTCTCAGGCTAACTATGGAGCTAAAGCCCCTCAGAAAATACCCACACAGTCTATCAAACAGAAGGCCTACTTTAATTTACCCAAGTATTCTGCCAAGTATATGGCCCACTCCAAAAGCTGACCCTACTGTCTCATAACTATGAGATCATTCTAGTATACTCTCTCTCACAAAGAGCACCATATTTCCTCTATCAATCCCTTTTCTCTTCAACACATGTATCATGCATGCAAACCTGGGCTTATCGTCTGTCATAGCCACAGCGTCACTGTTATGGAGGCTCACAAAGAACACCATATTTCCTCTATCAACCCCTTTTCTCTTCAACACATGTATCATGCATGTAAACCTGGGCTTATCGTCTGTCATAGCCACAGCGTCACTGTTATGGAGGCAGGGATGTTTCTTCACAGATGAAGCACTAGTATACACTAGGCACTTAACAAACAAATGCACTGAGAATAAATTGAAAGGAATGTACCAGAAACTGGGTCCCCTTTAACCTCGGCTTGAGGAACCAATCTTAGAGTTCCCAGCTCTCACCGCCTGCTCACCTCTGGGTGAAGCTCTGCTACACCAGATGACCTGGGTCAATGAATCTTGTTTGTTCGTCTATTTTCCAATTCATTAATTTCTACTCTTATTTAAATTATTTCTTTCTGTCTATTGATTTTGGGCTTCTCTATTTCTTGTTTTTCCAAGGCCTCAGGTACCTTAAATTATTTTTTCCCAACCTCTTTTATATTTTAATGTTAATACGTGTAACTGTAAGTGTTCTTACAACTGTTTCATTGTGCCACACAGGTTTTGGTAGGTTATGTTTTAATTTTCATCTGAGTCTCAGAACTTTTTGAAGTTGTTTCTTGTTTTCTTCAATGAACCATTCATTCATTCATCATTCAACATCGTGTTGTTTGATCTTCAAGAGTTTATCTGTTCTGTTTTAAAATGTATTTTTATTATTTTAAATAATAAGGTTCTTGCAGGTTCTTGTAAAGGCCAGAGGTATTGGATCCTCTGGAGCTGGAGTTCCAAGTAGTTGGGAGTTACCTAAAAAAGAACTGGGAACTGACCATAGGTCCTCTGTGAGAGCAGTATCATCTGTGGAACCACCTCCCCAGGCCACATCTTTTCTATAGTTATTTCAATCTTCTCATATTTGTGGGGACTTGCTCTGTGTGCTAGGATATGATCCATTTTGGAGAAAGCTCCATGGCCTGCTAAGAGAAGGTATTGCTTTGGTGTTTGGATGTAGCTCTCCATTTGACCATTTAACTAAGATCCTTCTTTGTGGAAATGATATTTTCTAACCCATTCATATTTTCTGAACCCTAAGCAAAACATAAACATATTAAAATATAATTAAATCAATAAAACCAAACATTTCTGCCTCTTTCTAAAAACCTTGTTGCATTTTTTTTTCCCGAGACGGGTTTTCTCTGTGTAGGTCTGGAGCCTATCCTGGCACTCGCTGTGGAGACCAGGCTGGCCTCGAACTCAGAGATCCGCCTGGATCAGCACTCTGCCTCCCGAGTGCTGGGATTAAAGGTGTGTGCCACCAACGCCTGGCGCAAATTTTTTAATGTACATTTTTGTTTTTTTTTAGGTTTTTTTTTTTTTTTTTTTTTGGTTTTTTTTTTGTTGTTGTTGTTTTGTTTTGTTTTTTTTTTTTTTTTGAGGGTCTCTCTATGTAGCCCAGGCTGTCCTAAAACTCACCATGTAGACCAGGTTGGCCTGGACATCACAGAGAGATATCTGCCTGCCTCTGTCTCCCAAGTGCTGGGATTAAAGGTGTGTGCCACCACTGTCTGGTGCACACTGTATGAGTCACTGATTGAAGGTTGAGAAAAATAAAACATTCTGCCGAATTCTTATTTGAATAGGCCATAGGCAACTTAATCTACCCAAGAGTCATTTTCCTAACTTTTAAAATCATGACACATACGGAGAATCTATGAAATTATCAATAGAGGAGAATTCACTAAAATAACTTTTCTCTCAAAAAGCAACATGATCAATTCTAATTGATACCTAAGGAGAGAATAGCAGCTATCTTCCCACTACTCCTGAACTTAGGACTTGACAGCTGTTTAATTCCTGGGCAGTTACGTTTTGGAAGTGACTGGATTTGAAATGAGCAAGTGACTGGGTGGGAAATAGAGAGTTGTTAGCAGATTTTCCACCTTGAAGGCAAACCCCAGGGGTTGCAAGAATGGAGTGGTATTCTTCATTTCATTTGCAGCCAAGAACTCTATAGGGGTGCAATTACCCAGTGTTTTAGAGCACTCCTAGAAACTATCAGTGTGGGTTCTTTCTTTCTTTCTTTCTTTCTTTCTTTCTTTCTTTCTTTCTTTTCTTCCTTCCTTCCTTCCTTCCTTCCTTTATCTGCCTGGAACTCATTCTGTAGACCAGGCTTGTCTTGAACTCACAGAGATCTGCCTGGAACTCATTCTGTAGACCAGGCTTGTCTTGAACTCACAGAGATCTGCCTGCCTCTGCCTCCTGAGTGCTGGGAACAAAGGCATGCACCACAACTGCCCTGCTCAGTTGGGGATCTTATGCAAAATGTCTTGAATGGGAAGAATCGCTGTTCTGTATATTTTGTTCTGTGTTCTTGTAATGCAGTAAGCCAAGCTCCACTGACTAACACTGTACTTCAGTACCTAGGCAAAGCACACACCAGGAAGCTCTAGTCCAGTGAAGGTCAAGACTCTTTTGGGGGTTTGAACAACCCCCCTTTTAAGGTCACATATCAGATATCCTACATATTATATATTTACATCATAATTCATACCAATAGCAAAATTACAGTTATGCGCAACGAACATAAGGAACTGTATTAAAGGGTCACAGCATTAGGAAGGTTGAGAACTACTGCTCTAGTCAATTAGATGTAGTTAAAATTCTCCCAGTGCCCACCAACATAATAAGAGATGACAGAGGGTTGCATGGATCTCAAAATCAAAATAATTTCTATTAATTATGACAGTATTGCATCAAAAGAAAATATATATCAGATGAAGATGCCCAACACACAAAAAAGTTGAGAGCAGTATAGTATTATGTTCTGTAACATAAAAGGGAAAGACATAAGCTCTGGGAGACAGAGGTATTCTGATGCTGTAAGAGCTTGAGATGTCTTAAAAGGCTTCTAACTTTTCAGATCCCATTATTAATAATATTCTATAAGGTAAATTAGCTTGCTCACTCCGTTCCATCTTTCTAACTTAGACTCTCTTGCAGCTAGGGTTCTAGAAATGACTTTTTAAGTGCTCACCAGCCATGTCTGTGTGTCACTCAAATGAAGACAGAGGAGGGAGCAGCAGGGACATCTCAGGCTCGGGACCACCATGTGCAGCCATTTCCTTGACCTCCAGGTGTGGGTCACTGGACCTTCTGGATCCCCTGGGTCTTCAGGAGCCAAGGGTCTGGTCGTTTCCCAGACATCAGTAGGCCTTATTTAAAACTTGCCCTCAATGTGATCACTGAAAAATGGATCGTGTAACCACATGTCTAAGCCAGGAGAGTCAGGTAAGGAGGAATGACAGGGCTGGGTCGTATTCAGCATCTGAAACTACAGCTTGTGTTTAGGACTCTAGAGTCAGCACAATCTCCCAAGCTGTTGCAGCCTAAATGGAGAGTATTTCTAGGTTAAGTACATGATTGGTACTTTGCTAATGACAAAAGTTTTCCTACCCTCAACATTTCCCATTTCTATAGAGCATAGAGAAATAGTCATTGCCAGATATATTGTGCGAAAGGAGATATTACAGAAGTGGAAGGGCTGTGGTAAGGAATGACTTCAGAGCCTCCCACCACCTCCATTCTGTAATTTCAGACTTTCCGTAATGAGGTTCACAGTGGCAGTCCTCACAAGGCAGAAGTGACAAGGAAACCAGTAGAAAGCACTCAGAGAATTCATCAAATATACATGCTTAGAGACGTGTACAAATGATGCTACAAGCCAGGCAGAGGCACTTTCTGCATTCTAAAGTCAGACAAGATGCATTCGCAGCTAGATGTAGCAAAGTTCCATAACCAGGGTGCAGTTAATGGTCACAGAAGGTAAAGTTAATTAGGAAATCTGAGACTTGCCTCTCCTGCATAAAAGTTATACATATAAATTAATATACACTGATATATTAAAATTAATATGACATACATTTATATATTATATAACATAATTAATGTATTATAATATATATTAATTTTAATATACCAACATGTTAATCTATATAACCCCCCCATCCCGTGCATAGCTCCCCTGCTACTACTGGGGGAAAGGGATGTATTTCTAATGGCGAAGGACAACATAGAAGACCTTAATACCCAAATCTGACCCAAAGCCTCACTCAAGCCAGGCAAGCACGCTACCACTGAGCTACATCCCCAGCCCTCTCTATGCTTCTGTTCCAAGTATTTCCCAGAGTGTGGCTTCCAGTAACACATAGAAGTGTCTCAATGACAATGCCTCCTCTAACTGGCTAAGTGTGGCCACCTTAGACTTCACTGTCCCCTAACAGTGTCCATGGGTATTTCTGAAGGGTATAAAATAGCATTTAGTGGCCTTTTACAGGTACAGCCATCACCCACTCTGCAACGACCCTCAATCCCCACTTCCGTGTGTGTGTGTGTGTGTGTGTGTGTGTGTGTGTGTGTGTG